CCTAGCTTCTCCTCTCGCAACTTCATGGTATCTTAGTAATAATATTCAAGAAGTTTATGTCCAATACGAAGATGGGATCAAAGGACTAAATATTACAATCTAGGAACAAGGCAGACAATTCAATAATCTACGGAGTTAGATGCAAATACTAATAAGGTTGTTATGAGACCTACAGTAGACTCGCGTCCTTCTTGCCGATCCCTCAACAATCTAGGAGTCGGTTGCTTCTCTTAATACCTAGTAGTCGAAAGATGATGCGGGACATGATGAGGACTAGATTTCTTTTTTTTAAAAAAAAGTTTTTTATGTTTTCGTACACCTTAACACATTTATATATTTATTTGATTTTAAGTGTATTAAATAATATATCGTGTTTTAATAAGGTTTTATTGTTAGTTATTTGTTACTACCATTAACATATATATATATATATATATATATATATATCTATGTATGTATGTATGTATGTATGTATGTATGTATGTCCGTACGTAAATGTATGTATGTATGTATATAAAAAAATTTTCATTTAGCGACCGAATAAGTAATAAAAACTAAACCTCTTTGCAAAAAACACATATACAATCGCTAAATAACGACGAATTTACGAGAAATTTTAGCGAGTAAGATTTAGTTATAGAAATAACCAACTAGCGGCAATTTTGTGTCGTATAACAAACCAAGAAGATGATTGTTTACTTTGCATTAATGACAAAAAAAAAAAAAAAAAAATTCATCTCTAAGAAAATAGCGACGGCCACATTTGCTATTGAAAGTACATTATCGCAAATCCGTCACTAAGGCTAAATAGCGATAGATATTTATGATATAACAATGGAAAAATCTATCGCTATTTTTTGATTTTCTTGTAGTGAATCAACATTTAAGGGTTCAATAATTATGGCTTTGGATACGGTAAAAATAACTTCTTTCAATTTTCTATTTGAATATTCATGTATGCCATTGTTTTTTTTTTTTTTTTTTTTTTTGCGTCTTTAGACATTTTGCTTTAAAGTTTCAACATCACCATAAGAAAATCATGCTCCTTTCTTGCCTTTTTTTCTTTCCATTCTTGAATTGCCTTCCTTGAGCATCCTTTTTTCTTGCCTTTTTTTCTTTCCATTCTTGAATTGCCTTCCTTTTGACTTTCAAGGCTTCTTGGCTTTCTTTTTAGTCCCTTAGTATCTTTAACAACCATGATATTTGAGTGCTTATAATGCCTTTTCCTTTCTTCTTCAAGTGCCAACATTGCGTGTATTTTATCCAAATTCAAATCCCGACCAAAACAATTCACGGAGGTGATAAACAAATTCTCAAGATAAAGGAAGACTATTAAGAATAGTTGATACTTGTATCCGATCTAAGATTGCATTTTCTATTGTGGATAAATCCTTAACAATAAGAGCCATGTGATTAACATGATCCACAACGATAACATCCTCTAACATAGTTATGTCATTGAAATTTTCAAGTAAAATTTGAACATAAATATTGAACTTTTCACTAAACTCTTATTCCAAAACGGAGAGATTTGTCTTATTAGTCTTCAAATCTTCAAAATGAGGAATTAAATCATCTTGCATGCAACTCAAATGAACAACCTTTTCAAGTTCATTATCTTCTTTCCATTTTTCTACCTTTTCCTTAGGCAAATCATCGGTCTCCATAGATTTGTAAATAGGAGTCACATAAAATATTTTGTCATGCATTGAGAGATAAGAAACTCTTTTGTTTTTTTCAAAGAGAATAATTAATTCCATTTAATTTTTCAATTTTAGAAGAATCAACAGAATTTTATTTTGATACCATAGTCAAATAATCTTGATGATAAATGATATAAAATCTTATAGATTTTAAACAATCAGCAGACCCTAGATAAATGTTCAATGGGTTGTTTACTTCCTATTAGGTTAGGAATCACGTTAGACTGAACAAAGAGTATTTTGCATTTATAATGAACAAAATCTCTCATTAAATTAAAATTCATTAATCAAAGATCCACTTATATACAAAAACACACACCTTTTCTTAATAGATGTGTATATTCATTATTTGTGAGTTATAAAATTGTTGTTATCGTGTAAAGATACAACTTGTGAATAGATACAACTTTAGATAGACAATTTATGAATAAACGCAACTCAATTTTTTTTTTAATGAAATACAATAATATATAAATAAGATCAAATATGTGTTCACTATAGGTGTAGAAATAAGGCTGTACATGAGATAATTTTTACCATATACTATGAAAAAAAATTTTTTTTTTTTTTCCCACCAAACGGGGTAACTGTGGCCATTTGGTAGCTGCCATGACTACGGACTTGTTTGGTAAAAGGAATTTGACGAGGCATACCAAGTGATATATGAAAAAAAAAAAAAAAAAAAAAATCGATGTGCACATAAGATAAGATGAAAGTTAGTTTTTGTCATGCATTGCATCAAATTTTGTTTTCTCCCTCCCTCGTTAATAATAAACTGGTGTTATCTCATAGGACAAAACCTATTTAAGCATTCTTCTCAAACTACTATGCTCATCTCCCTTAGATTTGAAAATCCGCTCCTAAAAGAAATTAATTCTTTTTATTTATTTTCATTAATAAATAAAATAAAATAATTTTTTGAAAATGATAAGTATTATTTCTGACCAATTATTTTTTAAAAAAAATTATTTATTATTTAGATTTATTACTTCTAAATATATAAAACAAAAAGTTTATTTTTAAAAATAAAATTAATTATTATTTAAATTTATTACTTCTAAATATATAAAACAAAACAATTATTTTTAAAAATAAAATTAATTATTATTTAAATTTATTACTTCCAAATATATAAACTAAAATAATAATTTTATTTATAAAACAATCAAATGTATTAATAAATAAAATAATATTTAAAAAATAAAGAAATTAGTTATTTTTATTCAAAACTTGAAAATGATTGATTTTCATATTTATCAAACATATAAAACAAGACAAATAATTCAACAAAAATTGTGCAATTTAATATAAAATTATTTTTGTTTGTTACTTCACATTAACAATAATAAATTAGTTATTTCTATGACTTTAAACACAATCTATAAGGTGTTAAATTATTGTTTTTATACTTATAAACAGAAAACAAAATAAGGGTATTATAGTTATTACATCATGTTTTGCATTATCCATCTCATCCCTATAGTTTTATTCAACAGATCAAACACACCCTAAAGATCGGAAAATTCTAAGTAGAAAAGGCGATCTCGTATATTGGTCGGTTTGAATTTGGTGTCGAAACTTAGTTGTTGTGGTCATAGAGGTTATCAATGTCATGTAGAAATATTAAAACCATATAGCAATCTGTTTCCTACTTCTGCTAAATTACGTAGGCCCCATCCATGTAACAGCCTAACAGGTTAGGGCCAGATCTGTCTAATTGAGTAGTGATTTGAAGCTTTTTTAGCATTTCACAATGAGAAGAGAAGAGGGAAAACAAAAAAGAAAAAGAAGAAAAAAGGAGCATCTTTATTCTGGGGTGTTGAATGAATGTTGAGTCTTTTATGCGAAAGATATTTGGAAAAATATCCATCCGATGGCTGTTCTTGTCGTGAACTATTAGAATTGTGACACGTTCAAGTTTTTATCGTCGATGTGCTCAATCATTCTTTGAATTATTACTTTTTTAATACATATTGTCGTTTTGCTGTTATTTTTTATTTTATTTTACCATTAAACTAAAAGGTGATCAAAACCCTTTTAAAAAATTCATGTTTTAGTATTTTGTGATGGATTTTTGTTAAAAATACCAACAAAAATATTTTTGATTTTAAAAAAATAATTAAAATTTTTTGAATCGAGAATTTTTCTTTTTATAACCTTTTACTATAAGATCGGTAAAGAATGACCGGTGGATACTTGGTATATGTATTAAAATGATAAGGTGTTTTACTGTAGTTAATGTCTGCTGCAATAAACAAAACAATGTCATTTTAGGTTTTTTAAGCTTGCAATGACGTCGTTTTTTCAAAAAAAAAAATAGCAATTTCTTTGACAATTTATGTTTTTATATATGTATCTATACTCTGGTTTTTAGAGTCGTACTTTTGTATGAAACAGAGAGGATAGAAAAGGTCTCTAAATGTGTTATCAAAAGGTCCCTAAACGTTAAGGGAGGATAGAAAAGGCCGGGAAGAGAGGAGGCTTCGGTATTTTTGGTTTTTACGATGTATTAGAACATGCTCTAAGTTCGGCCCTCTTTTTTCTGGCGATAATTTGGTTGTCGTCAAGCCCCTTCGCATGGGCCGGCATACCCTAGCCCAACCTCTTTTATGTTTTTTTAATTTTTTTATACTTTTATTTTGTTAATTGTTTGCTCAAAATATTTCTGTTTTCTGTTTTGTGGAGCTTGGATTCAGACAAGCTATTGTGATTTGGGTCCAAACTTCTTATCCAAGCCCATCCATGTCACTCCGGTTTAATATTCCTTTTGTATTTCATTCTGCAATCAGATCCTGAGATTTCCTGGAAAAATCCTATAAAACTTGAACAAGGACTCTGAATGGAAGCTATGATGATTTGGTAATTCCAAATTTCCAATCTCTCTTAATTCATTGACAAGAGCTCGATGGTGAAAGTCTAAATAATCTTGCCAGTAGGTACCTTCAAAGTCCTGCCCTCTATTTTTAATCTAATAGTAGGACGCTCTGAGATGCATTTGACTTCCTCTTAATCAAAGTTAAACAAGATCAAAGCATCATAGAAGAAGCCCATTAAAAATAACATTCCTCACGTTGCAATCATTTGTAGCATAATAAATCGTCACAAGACTCAAATCTCAATCACAAGATCATCCATGTAGCCACCTATCAATTTTATATCAGAAAGTACAACACGGATAGCTAATATTCATAGTGTTGCCTCAATTATTTGAACTGCACAGGTTGGGTAACGTGATTGTATCAAAACTCATTAGCACATCCAAAAATAGTCACCAAAGGAAGTAGCGAAACACACTAATCATCTCATCTGAGCATGCTGTTTGGTGGTGGATTCCGTCTCCTGATTACTTAGATTTGTGTCCGCATCATTCACATTTGCAATCTTTTCTGCTTCAAGCAAAGCCTGAGCTTGCATGGCCTTCGTCATCTCCTTCATCGACGACTCCTCCCCTTCAAGCTGTGTCTTCATTATAATCTCAGCTTTCTTGTCAATTGGATTAAAATGATCTTCAAATGAGGCCTCCTGCACATTGGGAGGATGTTATTCCAATCTTGAATACAATCAGACTATGAAATGCAATTTGACCAAAACATAAATGTTAACTTTATATTCAAACAATCAGACTAGTGAAAATGCATAATTGAATATCAACATGATGTGGAAAGCCATCAGGAATATGCTCTGGCAAAAGTAATATGCAAAAACAACTAGTTTTCAATTTGAGATTAAAGGTCTATATACCCCTCAAAGTGTTAAAAGTGAAGAGTTAAGGCACTGTAAAGAGCCCTAGGGATGGAAGATGAGGTAGTGTTGTGTACAAGCTACATTAGGATGGAGAGAAAAATGAACTAGGAAAAAGCACGGGAGAAGCAGACAATATTAATGGGATGAAACATATGTTTTGGAGGGATTCCTTTCTAGTCTCACTTTCTCCCTCTAACTCAACATTACTACAGTTCACAAAAAATACCTTCCTTGGAAACCTCACCTCCCCCAGATCTTGTCTTTCATTGCACAAAGTCTCCCACATATCACACTATGTACACCTACCATCACCTGCCACGCACATTCCAGCTTACAAAGATCGCTCACTTCATCTCACGAAAATTAAGACCCAAGAAGTCCACAGCATCAAGTTTTATATGAGAGGACTTACTGAAAAGAAGGGTTTTGATTCTCCATTGTTAAGGTGTGTTAGCACATCAGTACGGTCTGTTCAATTTTTTCTTCACAGGTATACTTTTGACTATGAGACCATTACTTACACAAAGCATGTAGATCAATGAAAAATTGTGAGAAGAAACCATCACAAATACGCATAAACTTTCTATAGACCTACACAGATATTATACTTTTTTTGGTAGCAGATCAAACATAGAAAATTCTCAACAAGCCTTAAGGCTTAGAATTTTTTCTATAAGGAAACTCAGGATACATAAAATTCAAGCAAGTTGATTTGTGTGATTTGTTCATGATATTGGCAATGAAGATTAACATAGTAATACTGAATTCACAAAAACAACTGAAAATAGAATAAAGAGTCTGTAAAATAAGATAACTATATGTAACTTCTCAATACTCACAATTTCGTCTATCTTCTTGTTTAAATTTTGCATTTCCTCAACCATACGGCGAACTTCTGCTAATACAAACTGCTCAGGGATCTTTCTCAAGGCTGCCTTTCTTTCTTGTGCCTATACTCTCATTACAATGGAATGTAATGGGGAAACCAATCATTGGGACTTCAGAACAAAACGTGAGTACAGTATACAGGAACTGAGAACGTTAAAAACTTAAAAATGGCAACAACAGGATGGAGCAAACAAAAACATAAAAAAAGAAAAAAAAAAGATTTATGCAGTATGAAATTTGAGTCATGTAAAAAAACCAATAATATTTTGCTTAAAGGATTATCAGATTATCAAATACTGTGAAGAAAGATCTTAATTGTCAACTCACAACACATCAGGAGTTCAGATCAGAATTTATTTGCTTTTGGTTGAAATCATTAGCTTTATTGGCCATGGGAAAGTTATAATTATTATATCCCTTCACTCATATAGATTGATTAGAAGCAAATTGGAAGCTGACATGGTTGGATTCTCCTGTTTGTTTAAAGATGCCACCTTTATGTGCTTTTGTAATGTTTGACACCTTCAATGATCTTCTTGTAGTTTAGTCTAGTTCAGAAGCCCACTGATAGAAACAATTGTACTATAGTGGATTACAAAAACTAAGAAGCCTGGCTTTGCTCATACAGTTGCAAAGACCATAGCGTCAAATGAATAAATGTCATTTTAATTAGCATGTGACTCAGCCTCACTATAATGCCGGATCCAGCATCATCAGCATACAAAGTGTACATAATGCAAAGATAGAAATAGCAGAGATCTAGACAAAAAGAAAGAATGCCTAGAACCCTGTTGGGAAAACTGAATGACTAGAATCCTATTGGGAATCCTCAGTATTAAAGTATCATTCTAATCTACCCTAACAGCTCACTTAACCCGTTCAGTTTCACTATCAACAACAATTTTGAACTAAGTTGTCTGACACCTTTTTACTCATATTGCTTGTACCTATGAAAACGAGTAGAACAAGAAACAAAAACATATAAATGAGAAAGAACAATACTGATGAAAAAAATTACAAAACACTATGATTAGAAGTCCTTCAAATGAAAAAAGTTTAGCGGCAAGGAACCAGAGGAACTTGAAAGAGCAACGAAGGAGATATAGTCTATCAGCTTAATCCAACTTAACCAAGCTTATTCTCAAACTAGTTAAGTAAACGATATACAACACGCCGAGAGTTCTGCTTGTCACACTTGTTTTACCATGGTCAAACAATTATATCACATGAATTGGTGCACAATCGTAGATGTGTAAAACACTCTTATAGGTCGAGCATACAACTCACCTACTGGCACTACTGTCTTGTTGAACACCAAAAACACCTCACATTATATGAAGATAAAACAACGGATCAAACACCACTCCATAACAGTATCCCACCAATTAAAGGTGACATTAATGACTATTTCAGGCTACACCTGGAAATACGTGAATCATCCAAGCAAGAATATGGCATCTTTTACAACCCTAAAACATATTATCATATTCTAACTCATGGTGATTGCCGGTGGAATTCACTATACTTCGAAGCCCAAAAAAACACCAAAAACAATATATGAATTTTAGGACGACAATAAATCTAATAGACATTATAGAAAGCTAGTAACTAGTAATTAGCAAGACCTGTTGGAGACGCTGCTCAAGTTGTAATCTATGATTTCGAATTTTACGTTCTTCGTAACCCGAAAGAACCCTGACATAGAAAAGTGCTTTTCTTCCAAAATCCAATAACTTCTTCATGTTCTTTATAATTCAATACAAATGCCACTTACACCAACAAATCTGCACGGTTCCACAATACCAAAATCACACCTCGTAAATCAATTAATACCCATGATTTAGCAAATGAAAAGCCAGTAACTTCGAGATTCGGATTCACTGATAAAACCCTAAATTTCGATCAGGTTAATGTAAAAAGGAATGAAAGTACTAACCGTTTCCCATGGATGACTTGAGGAAGAGAAATTTTACAGCGGAAATGTTGAGTTTTGGAGTATCGCTTTTCAGAGAAGTGATTTAGTGGTTGGTTTCGCTCTGATTATGTGGATTATTCCCATTTTGGGGGTTACAGTCGCCTTTGTATCCAAACAGTAGCCTCTGCTTAGAAGCTGTCATTTGGTTTTTCAATTCAATTTTTAATAATTTCAGTTCGGTTTTTAATTAATCAAACCTCCAAAAACAACTGAATTATTTGGTTTAATTGATTTCAGTTTAAACTGAATTTTAAAAAAAATTTCTCAGTTTTTTTAATTTTTAATTTTTTTAAATAATATAAATAGAAAAAAATATATATCATCAATCTATCGTGTATCTATAATAGTATTAATATATTGATATATTGATTTTTTGATTTATTTATTTATTTAAAAATTTAAAAAAATTCAAAAAAAATCGATTTTCATTTTAAACCAAAGAAAAAATTTCAAAAAGCATACTGAACTGAAAAATAAAAAAAAAATCGATTTATTTTTTCTCTTCATTTGAGTTAAAAAAAAAATTCAGTTTAAACCTAATAAAAATTTTCAAATACCAAACTGAACTGAAAAAAAAAAATTCAGTTAAAAACCTTATGCTTTTAGTTTTCTGTTTAAATAAAACAGTGTTCCCTCATACTTTTTAGGTGGAGTTGCTGTATCCTTTGTTTAATGTCATTTTACCTTGTTAAAGCATATAGGTTCTACCAATTTATATTCTGTATCAATTAGACAATTACTTTCTAAAGTTTCAACCATTTATCAATACGACCTTTTATTTCCATCTCTATTAGCAAAAGTGACGGAAAATAATATTTTGTTGTGTAACATCCAACTTTTCATCCAAAAGTGCAGATAGTTTATCCATTAACTTCTCAAAAAGAAAAAAATCTCAAAAGATTCATATATATATATATATATATAATTCACTTTAAAATAAGAAAAATAATGGAAAATAAAATTAATATGAATTTTAATCTATAGAAAAGGTAAAAAACAAGGATCGCTTAAGTTTTTTAAAATTAAAATCATTAAATACCCCAACTTCACTTAAAAGTCAATAAATAATTTTTAAATATTTAGTTAATTTTTCAAAAAATAAAGTCAAAAATCAACATGCTAAATATATTAATTTTATTGTATTTGAATTAAATTATTTTTTTCGTTCAATCTATAAAATTAGCATACATCTAATTCTTGTATTATCTCATCTTGTTGCTCTCATAGGCGACTTGATGTTGTCAATTTCTCCGAGTTAAAAAAAAATAAAAAATAAAAAGCATGTCCAAATTTTTTTTTATTTTTCTATAATGAAATTAAAATTAACTATTTTTTTAATTAATTTACTTTAAAGTGAATTTGAATTTTTGTTTTTTGTTATGATGTTTTTATTGATTTAATATTATTAAAATAATTTGGTGGATTTGTCTTTGTATTTTTTATATTAAATTTCATATTTTTTTATATTTTTTGTGCTTTTTTTTTAAAGTGAATTTACTTTCAAATCAAAGTTTTATATGTATCTCAAAATGAATAATGTAAACAGTTTTTTCGAAAGTTAATTGAAAAACTATCCATAGTTATGAGAGAGAAATTGAAGTTTACAAAATAGAAAGGCATATTCTGTTAATTTTCCTAACGGACGTATACAAAAGAATCTTATTGATAAGAGGTAAAATTTAAAGGGTGTAATTGATAGAGAAAAACTTTTGAGAAGAAATTAATAGGACTATTATACTTTAGGAATATTAAATGAAATTAAACCTTTGTTTTGATTTGGTTTGTGTAATTCTTTTTTATTCTCCATGTGGCCTTTTCATGAACAATTTTATTTATTTATTTATTTTAATCAGCTTTGGCACATCCTGACATTTGTATGATGCACTCGGAGAAATTTTATTAAATTTGAGATTTGAATCTAGAAAGTCACAGTAAAAAAATTACCTCTTTAACAACTAGATCAACCCTTGAGGTTTTCATTAACAAGTTGATTTATTCTATTATTTTTAATATAAAACAAACAAGGCCCTTGTTTTCTTTTTTGAAAATTTTGTAACTAATAAACATGTTTCCTTAATATTTTACGAAGAAAATTTTTTAAAGAAATAAAAAAAAATGGAAACTAATATCTGTTTAGTTGTATAGGATGGTTATTTCATTTTTATCTCTAGTTTTCTTTTCTTTTTCTTTTTTTTCTTTTTTTTTTTGGAGAATGTAGAAAATGTGTTCATTTGGTTAGTATGAACAATTTTATATATTTATTTATTTTACTTTTTTTATTTTTTATTATAATTTGGATGAAACTTTTATTCATTTCATAAATTTTAATACATGGAATGAATAGGTAATGTTGTGCATAATACTATAATTATTTTCTTCGTCAACAATGTCCAGGGGGCTCGCGGAGTGGTAGAAGTCGCCACCTAGCCATTAGAGAGGAGTCGAAAACTTTAAAACAAAACTAGTATGTACAAATATTTAGATAAAAGGTCAATTACATATGGAGGAAATTAATATCACCACCATCCAGTCTTACCTAAGGTAGACCGTATTGTATGCACGTGAAAATAAAGGTCTCTTTGTTATGATTCTATGCTAACTTAAGTGAATTTGTGTTTTTGTGATGAATTGACCGAGTAGTTTGAGGTTTGGACCGATTAAAGGCATATACTCATACTCTAAGGGGAAATGTGGACGGATATTAGAATTTGGCTAATCGTTAGTGATTGCAAACCTATATTGATAAATAGGTGAATCTCTAAGGATTGAAAGCCTATATTGAATTGAATAGGAAGCCACCAACGACTTTGCTCACATAAATGAAAAGCCACCAATAACTTCAAATCATAAATTCGGGAAGCTATCAATGACTTCAATCACATAATTGAGAAGCCACCGACGACTTCGATTGGTATAACAACAAGTCATTTAAAAATGTTTGGAAGTCATTGGTGGCTTCATCCATATAAATGGGAAGCCACCAACGACTTCATTTTAATGAACATCAAACAAGTAAACAAGTTTGGAAGCCATTTGCGGCTTCCTAAGCTTCGTCTACACAAATAGGAAGCCACCGATAGCTTCATTTTTACGAATAACAAAAGAGTTAAACAACTTTGGGAGCCACTGGTGGCTTCGTCCACATAAGTGGTAAGCCATCAACGGCTTCGTTTTAATGAACGAGAAAATAGCTAAACGAGCTTTAGAAGCCACCGATAGCTTTATCTACATAGGTAAAGGCCACTAAAGACTTTGTTTTTTTACTAGCAAAATAGCTAAACAACTTTGGAAGCCACTAATGGCTTCATCCTTATAGGTCGAATGCCACCGATAACTTTGTTTTTACGAATAGCAAAACATCTAAACGACTTTAAAAGCTATTAACGACTTTGTTCACATAGGTGAAAAGTCACCGATAGCTTCATTTTATGAATAATAAAACAGTTAAACAACTTTGAAAGCCACTAGAGACACCAACGACTTTAAATCACATAATAAGGAAGCCACCGTGACTTCATCCATATAAATAGGAAGCCACCGATGACTTCAATTCACAAAAAAAAAAAAAAAAGAGAGAAGTCACCGATGACTTCAAATTACATCATTTGAAAAGTCACCAATAACTTCATCCATAAAATTGAGAAACTCACTAAAGACTTCAAATCACATAATTTAGGAAGTCACCAACAACTTTATCTACACAAGTAGAAAGTCATCGATGACTTCATCTACAAAATTTAGAAAGTCACCGACAACTTCAAATCATATCATTTGGGAAGCCACCGACAACTTCATCTACACAAGTGTAAAGCCATTGATGACTTCATCCATAAAATTTAGAAAAGTCACTAACGATTTCAAATCACATCATTTGGAAAGCCACTAACGACTTCGTCCACACAAGTGGAAAGACACCGACCGCTTCATTCACAAAATTTAGAAAGTCACCGACGACTTTAAATCGCATCATTTAGGAAGTCATTGATAGCTTCGTTTTATTAAACAAAAAATAGCTAAATAGCTTTAGAAGTCACTAACGACTTCGTCTACATAGGTAGAAAGCCACCGATGCCTAGATAGATCATTGAAATTCAAACTCAAACTCATCCTCCAAGCTTAATGGCAGAGCATTGATCAATCATTCTAATTACTCCTCTAAATATTTCGGGTCTTCGACCCTTTTGAGTTTGATACACAATGATATACCTAACAATACTTCAAATTTCTCAAACATATTCAATATATTTTTTTAATCTCATTCATCCATAAGACAACAATTTACATCATTTCATTCAAAACAATAAATAGGTAAAGTCCATCCCAAGAGTTACCCAAATAGCCACTAGAAAATGTGAAATTAGTAAAAGGACCGAGTTTCAATTCTTTCAATCTGGATGAAACTGCTTTATTCAGTCAATGGAGAGAGAGAAAGGAACTATAGTTTCTTTTGGGGGTGAATCTAAACCTTAGTTTCAGTTTGGTTAGTCCGATTAGTCCACAATCTGTAATATCAATCAAACATCCATGCCTAGACTGTATTTTTCACAGTATAACAAATCTGGCAACCAATCCCAAAATCATTTTCGATCCAGTTCAAAGTTCAAGTTTTTATCCTGGCACTGTTCTTAATTGTGAAACTCAAACCAACTTAGATAACAACAGTTTCGAAATCATTTCAAAATCCAAGATTTTTATCCTATCACTGTTTCCACTGTAAAATAAGAAACCACATCAAACAACAACAATCACAGCTTCCATTTTGGGTTCAATTCAAACTTCATAATTCTTCTCTTGTCACCATTATCAACTGTAAAACAAACACAAATTTTATGAATGTGGTGATTAAGAGGATTTCAGCCAGTGTTGTTTTTTATTTTGTTTGTTGGCTGGTAGTTGGGCTGTTAGAAGTGGTTCGATGAGAGAAGAGAAGCAACTGTGGTGTGTAGGTTAAGGTGTTTAGTAAAGATGGGTCACAGCTAGGAAGCTAGTGTGGTGATGTGTGTTTTTTGTTGGGGGTTATAGTTTTATGGTGAGCTTGGTGACTGGACAAGTCGATTAAGGTGAGGAGGTTGGTATGGTGGTCTGTTCGATGATAGGTCTATGGAATGGGTTGGTCTTGGCGACTGGTGGAGGAGGGTCTCGGTTGTGTGACTGTAGTGACCTTGGTGGCTGGTGCAGGAAGGTTTCAGATATTTGGGTTATGGTGTTGTTATTATGGTGGCTGGTGATGGCTTATGGCAAGGGTGGTTAGTGTGGCAGTGGTGTTCAGGAGGCTAATGTGGTGATGTTTCCACAGAGGGAGTTCGACTGTTATGGAGGAAAGGGATAATGAAAAGAAGATGATGATGTTTGTTTTGTGAGGGGGCTTCTGGTGAGGTTCGATGTAGGTCTACGAGGGTGTGTCTGGCGACGTTTGGTGGTGGGGATGGTGAAGGGCCGAGGCTACAGTGGAGGAGAAACCAATAGGAGGTTGAAGATGGATGGGTGTTCCGTGGGAGAGGGTGCAGTTGGTCGGTTTGTTTTGTTGAAGAAGATAAATAGTGGCTGCCCCAATTAGACTGGGGAAGAAGAGGAGTATTTACAGGGGATTAATTAGGATTTGGGGAAACAATTAATTTTAGTCCCTATTTTCTCGTATTTCTAAATTTCGGTATGTGTCCCTCTGATTTTATTTCGATCATGCCCTTAATTGCAATTATTCAGGCTATTTTCTCCTAAATTCCTTCAATTGAACCCTCTTATTTCAATTAAGGCTCTCAGGTTTTTAATCTTTTCAATCATACCCCCAATTGGATTTCCCTTGGTCTTAATTTATCAAATCCTTTCAATTGGATCCTCAGATAATTTTTCAAATAACTCTCGTCTTTCTTCTTCTCTCTTTCTTTATATTTTCTCAAAACCCACAAACTATGAGATTCTCTAAAAATCTCAATAAAAAGGCCCAAAATAAGATGAATAAAAATATTTTATTAAAAAATTTATTTTATAGAAAAAAAGGAAAAAAAAAAAAAAGGTGATAACAAACGAATAAAAAATATATATATTAGATAGAACTATATAATGAAATAGATTAAAAAATATAATAAAACTCTTCTAAAAATAGAACCACACATATGTTTAGAAATATGTATAAATAATAATGAATGTTTTTATTTTCTAAAAAGGGAATCGTGTGTTTTCTATAGAAAATATGAAAAAAAATATGAGAGAAAATTGAAAAAAAAAATGTTTATCAAAACTACTTACAAGTTAAAGAATTGAAAAAAAAAATCATTTCTTTAAATGAAAAAAACAAATTTTGAACAAGCAATCTCTTCTTTTTTATGTGGAGATATTTAATAAATAAATAAAATTATTCTCTATATTTGAACATGATTTATTTTTCAAAAGTAGATAAGCGTTATTTTTAGTCGGTGCTGATTATAAAAAATACTAAAGCAAAATGACTTTTTACTATTCATAACATTATTCATGCACTCACAAATCATTATTCTTTTCACTATTAATGACATTTTTATAACACCTTGGTCCTCAATTTTTTTTATTTTTTTCAATTTCAAACTTTAATTGTACTCGTAATTTAGTCCTATTTTGTTTTAGTATTTTTTGTTAATTATTTTTATTATTTCAGACTTACAACTTTAATTTATCATTTTTTTTAATTTTTTTTTCAATTTCAAACTTTAATTATATTGTGATTAGGTCCTATTTTGTTTTTTTTTTTTTTGCTAATTATTTTTATTATTTAAAATTTACTACTTTAATTTATTTTTTATTTTTAACAATCTCATCCAATTAATTTAAAATTATATGTTCCTCAATTTTTCTACATATATTTTCAGTTTTAAACTTTAATTGTATTGTGATTTGACTTCATTTTATTTTAGTGTTTTTTGTTAATTGTTTTTATTATTTAAAATTTACTACTTTAATTTATTTATATTTTTTTCAAAATTCTTATCCAATTAATTTAAAATAACTTTAATTGTATTATGATTCAGTCTCATTTTATTTTAGTGTTTTTAGATAATTATTTTTATTATTTAAAATTTACTATTTTAATTTGTCATTTTTTTTAAAATTCTCATCCAATTAATTTAAAATTATATGGTCCTCAATTTTTCTATATATTGTTTTTTCAATTTCAAACTTCAATTATATTGTGAATTGGTCCTATTTTATTTTATTATTTTTTGTTAATTATTTTTATTATTTAAAATTTTACTACTTTAATTTGTCCTTTTTAAAAAAATTCTCATCTAATTAATTTAAAATTATATTTATTAACACTTTTGATTTATTTTTCTATATATATGGATTTTGGAATAAATTGTTAAACATGATTATTTTTTCTTTTGAAAAATAGATTTGGATAATTTTTAAATTATTGTTGCATAACACACACGTATATTTTGTCCGAAATACATTTTTAGATTAAAAGTATATTTTAAATAATTTTTTCTCAGTTTTTTCAGAAAAAAACTCAAATTAGTTAATTAATAGTTGAAAATTAAATGTGAAAAAAAAAAAAAGATGGTTGCTCTGCGCGTGAGGCATGTATTTAAGGACTAGTCATGCATAGCATAGAAATAAAAAATTATTTAAGAAGGAGGAAAAAAATGAAAATGAATTCACATCTTTTATTAAATTGTTTCTTCTTTATATAATCAAAATTACTCGAAATAAAATTTGTAATAATTTTTACTTTAGTCAATTAACTTCAAATTTAGTCAATAGATTTTGTGCAAGTTAATTTTTTATAGTATTTTTTATTTTAGACTCGAAAACTTTAAACTCACTTAGTATAAAATATTGATCATTGTTTTTTTAGAAATTAACTATGCAACTACTATTGCACTAAGCATTTACTATTTATTTATTTTTGAATATTTTAAAATAAACTTACTTTAAATTAAATAATTAAAATTATGTTTTGGCTTACCACTCAATGATTCAAATTAATATAGTTTTTTAATTTAATATTATTCATTCTTTTGTAAATAAATATATAAAAATTAAAATCATATTTTTCAAAAATTGATATTCTCATCAACGTTAAATAAAAATAAAAAAAATTATTTATTCAATTCTATGTAAGCTTTTAATAATTGTTTTTTTTTTTGACATAATCTTATGAAATACTAAAGTTTTTTAAAAAAATTTTATTTAATTTTCTTTTTAGTTATAATCCATGGATTAACAAGGATAAATCTTTTTCCTAAAGAAAAGTATATGAAAAACACAAATAAGAAATAGTTAAATACAAAATTTTTGATTAAATTATTATAAATAATTTTTTTTCACCTTTGATTTCATATATTTTTATAGATTCATGCCATAAAATAGACTATCAAACTAAAATGATTTTTCTAAGTGATTTTATATATTTTATCCGATCCGTAGTGTATTGTGGGCTAAAAAACTAGTTTTGACTAACATAAAATCCAACCTATCCAAACCCTCAACTATTCTAAAGATGATCTCCATTACTCGGGATTCATTTCATCATCTTCCATTATTCTAAATTCACAAACTCATCTTCTCTAAACACATCAAATCAACAACTTTCTTTATCATTCCTTAATTCTTTTAATCCTAATTTCTACCTAGATTGAAGATTCTTCATCTTCTATTCTTTCATTTATTTAATATTTCACTTAGACTTAATATATTAAAAAATCATGAACTTTATACTTTTTAAGCACATTATCTCTTTCTTTTAATTTTGGATAAAAATATCACAAACTAAACTTCGATAATAATACTAGCACATATGGGTTTTTTCGGCTTAAATTCCAATAAAAGTTGACATGGTGCTTGATGGAGCATAACACTTTTCTTAATGTACCATGTAGGATTCCACGTAAGATCCACGTGCCCTCTTAACTAAAAAAAAAAAAAAACTCGATTAAAAAAAAAATCATAAACCAAGTAAGAAGAATTGTTCATCTTCCTAAAAAGAATTGAAATTTTGCAGAGTCACCATTATAAACAAAACACAAGAGAACCCACGACTTCTTTCTCTTTATAACTCGGAGATCTAATGAATTTAACCCATTCCATCACCAAAAACTAAAACTCTCCTCGCCATCTCATCATGAACATATGACACCACGTACCTATCATCCTCCTCCGTGTCTAGATTCTCGGCTCCCTTGTTATAAAGAAAGGCTTGCCACCATAGCATCTTGGCCTATACATCTTGTTATCCACCATGTATGTAGTCCTGTTGCTCTTCTTTGGACACATCTAGTTTCACCAATGATATGTTTGGGATCGAGTCACCTATTATCGTTGTCAATGTCCGCCTCAAGAGAGGCGAATAAGGAGTCACTACCTAGCTAATCGAAAAGAACTAGGAAACCCTAAACATATTAGGCTAAATCAATATCTAGGTAAAAGATCGGTTGCATATGGAGAAATAACATCAACATCATCCCATCCTACCTAAGGTAGGCTACATTGTTTGCATGTACAATAAAAATTTAGTTTTTTACCGTGTTATGATTCTATGCCTATTTAAATGAGTTTATTTTATTAAGTTATAAAACTAAAGTAGTTCAAGGATTGGGTGTAAAACAAAGTAGTTTTGAGGTTCAAGTCAATCTAAAGCCAATACCTCCTACTCAAAGGGGAAAGGTAGGGAAGGTTAGAATTTCAATTAGTCATTAGTGAACATGACCTATTATTGAAAAATAAGTGAGTTTCTAAAGATGGATAACTTTTTATTAGCATGAGCAAAGGGTTACCAACGACTTCAAGTCATGAATTTAAGAGGTTACCGACAACTTCATCACATAAGTGAGAAGTTACTAACCACCTTATTTAGCTCAAGCAAAGAGTGAATAACTGGTTTAGAAGTTATCAATAGATTCGTTACACAAATAGAAAGCCACCATCGACTTTGTTTCAAATAAGTAAACAGATCAAATAAAACTAAGGTAGGTCGCATTGTTTGCATGTACAATAAAGATTTAGTTTTTTATTGTGTTATGATTCTATGCCTATTTAAATGAGTTTATTTTATTAAGCTATAAAACTAAAGTAGTTCAAGGATTGGGTGTAAAACAAAGTAGTTTTGGGGTTCAAGCCGGTCTAAGGCCAATACCTCCTACTCAAAAGGGAAAAGTAGGGGAGGTTAGAATTTCAAGTAGTCATTAGTGAACATAACTTGTTATTGAAAAATAAATGAGTTTCTAAAGATGGATAACTTTTTATTAGCATGAGCAAAGGGTCACCGACGACTTCAAGTCATGAATTTGAGAGGCTACCGACAACTTCACTACATAAATGAGAAGTTACTAACCACCTTATTTAGCTCGAGCAAAGAGTGAATAACTCGGTTTAGAAGTTATCGATAGCTTCGTTACACAAATAGAAAGCCACCATCGACTTTGTTTCAAATAAGTAAACACTCAAGTAAAACAATCTCAAAACCATCGATGGCTTTATCATATAAGTAGGAAGCCACCGACGGCTTTATTTCGGTAATTCAAAATTAAACGAAATTAGTTCGAGAGCCATCGACGACTCCATTCATACAAGTGGGAAGCCATTTGTGACTTTATTTCAAGCAACCAAAAAACAAGTAAAATTATTCCGAAACTACCGACGACTTCATCACATAAGTGGAAAGCCACTAATAGCTTCATTTCAACATTGCAATCGGATATAAAAACTTAATCAAACCACAAAAATAAGCACAAAATTTACATTAAGCATGTAGATGCAAAATAAGATAGTTTATCCATAATGGCCATTACAACAATATTCACTTCAACCACATTTAAATCGTAAATATTTAAACACTAAATGATAATTTCATTCATATTTTAAAGGTTTTAGTCATTTTTTATTTATATTTTAAATAAGTGTGTTTATTTTTAGAGTTTTTACCTAAAGTGTTTTGTAATTAAAGTGTTTGATTTGAGTATCAATTCTACTTTCTTTGTCCTCGATGATAACTGATTATGCAATCAACCAAAGAAGGAGAGAGTTTTTTGTTATTAAAGCATTGTATGAGTCTTGCTAAAATGACTGAAAGTCTCTTTAAAGTCTCTTTAAAGCCCGTGAAAGTTGTCAAGGTTGTTGGTGCTGTTAGAGTTACTATAAATTTCCAAAATCCCCATAACTTGGAGGATAAACTTTCGGGTTTCTAACTTTGGTTCTCTCTCGAGTTCTCTAAATACTTTCTGATTTTAAAAACAATTCTGGGGCGTAGAGGAGATGACCCTCTACACCCTCCCAAAGGCAATTAGAAATGGAAGAAAATCGACATGGAAAGTCCTTACTTCAAACTGATCGACATGGAAAGTCCTTACTTCAAACTGAAAAGATCTGTTTTTTTTTTTTTTTTTTCCTTCTAAGTATTTTATGTTACCAACAGCTCTACTTTGGGCTTAACTCCCGAATTCTCTAGGAACTTTCTGACTTCAAAAATGGTTCTGATTTGTAGAAAGGATGGCCCTCTACACCCAAAAACAAGGTATCACTTTCAAAGGTTAAGAGAAATGGAAGAAAATAGATCTGAAAAATCCCTACTTGAAACTGAAATAGACTTTAGTTTTCTTTTTCTTCCTTTTTTTTCCAGGTTTTTTATGTTATCAACGGCCCTACTTTGGGCTTCAATCTGAAGCTTAAAACGAAATATAAATGAAATTAAATTTTCACATTAAAAGAAGAAGAAGAAGAAGAAGAAGAATGAGTTGAAAGGGTACTTCTTGAAGTTAAAAAAAATAGCAAAGTTGAGGGTTCGGCATCAGCCAGTTCGCTAGTGGACCACTTTGGGATGATTTTTTTTTCCCCTTTCTAGTCGTTATTTTCACTCCTTTCTTCTTTAAAACTACTCTCCACACTTCAAAATCTTTCTGCCTATCTTTCTTTTCCTTTTTATCACGTTTCTTTCTTCTCTATTTCTCTCCAAAACTTCTCTCTCTCTCTACTGTCAAGCTTTCTCTCTCCTTGACAGTGTCTTCTTCTCTCTGCTTCGTTTTCTCCTCTTTATTCTCTTAAAGACCCCTCTTTTTTTCATCTCAACCATTCATTATCCATCTATAGATCGTGTCCCTTTCTTTTAAAATCCCGAAATCCTCTTCTCTTGTCCATTCATGGCTGCCAAAGTGGGTTGCTGTAGGAGAGGCCATGCTTGTGGCAGACAAAATCACAGGTAAGAGAGGCTAGAATGAGACCATTTAATGCTGATAGTAAAGAGGGGATGGTGGAGTGTTTAAGGGGTAAGTTTCGTGACTTTTGGAGTTGCAAAAGTCCGGATTTTAGGTTGAGAAAACAACCCCTTGTGCATGGGAAAGCAGGAAAGAAGGAGAGGGGTGGTTGGAGGGAAAGCATGTTTTTAAGTTAGTCCCACAAGTTTTGATTTTAGTTTAATTAAACCTCTCAATTTATTGCAATTTGGCCCTTCAATTTCACCGAGTGGATTTTTAATTGTTCTAATTTCTCCCCTAAATCCACATTATTCTTAAATTGACCTCCTTCTTATTGATTTTCCTAATTTCATCCTATTTTCCTTTTTTCTTCTTCTTCTTTTTATTATCCTTTCTCATCATTTTTCTCTTTCCTTCTTTTATTTATTTTCCCTTTTTTTTTCCATTTTTCTTCTTTATTTATTTTTTTTCTTAGTTTTTTCTATTCTTTTTCTTCTTCCCTTTTTTTTTCTTTGTTTATTTTTTCTTTCTTTTTTAATTAAAATTAGGAGTTAATCCTAAAAAATTTAAATTTTAAACTTTATAAAAATACCTAAAAATCATGAAAAAAATAAAAGAATATGCAACATGTAATTTTTTTTAAAAAAATTCAAAATATTTTATAAAAATAAAAATTTATTGAAGATCGAAAATAAAATATTACATAAACAAAAGAATATATAACTAACAATGTTATAACAAAATAAAATATGGATGTCAAGAAATTAAATCATTATAAATATATATATATATATATATATATATATATATATATATATATATATAAATTTTTAATCTAAATAACTTGAGATATACAAGGACTAAATACCAATAAAGTCCTTCAAAGAATCAAACAGGCCTCTGGTTTTAAAAGTCCGCGTTTTTAGAGTCAACTCTTTGTTGCTTCTGAATCTGAAAGGATCAGTCAGACCTCTGTTACCCCGTAGCTCGCCAGACCTCGAGAATTTAACAATCCGCCAGCACAACCCGGCCGTTCTCTTGGGCCTCATTTGTTATTCTCTCTTCCCCCACCGGCTGGTAAAAGCGTTTGTTTGGGAACTTTGACATCCAATGAGAGAACCAAATAAATTAAGCAGCTACTTTGCATAAGACGAAATAAAAATCCAAGTCGATGCTATTAAAAATCAACCATGCCATTTGTCCCTCCCTGTTCGCGTTTTCAATTTTTTTTTTCAACTTACAGTTCTATTCGTCCCCAAACATCAATTATCATTCATCAGATTCACAGCTTAAGTTGAAAAGAAAACATAAGCACACATGTACATTAGAACTTGCAGAAAGAGGTCACAATCTGAAAGAAAAAAAATAGAAAAAAGGTGCTAAAGCCTTCCGTAAGAAAATTTCAAGCATTTACAGAACCAGGCATACGCTAGTTAGAAGTACAAAATATTTAACATTGATTTGGTTCAGTGAAGCAACAGAGAGCTGTGTTCATTCGATATAAAAGCAAGGAAGTACATAGTCAGGCTTCAACTCAAATTCTCAATCTCTTCTTTTCTTCTTCTTCTCCTTCTCAGACGAATTCTTCAACTGCAAAACAAAAAGATAATTTATCAGCTAATGGAATATGGTAACTGAAAAACACTAAAAAGCATTGATGATGGCCATCACTCCGGAGAATTCCGTTCAACTTACCATGATTATGAGAATTCGCACAAAAACAGCAACAAAGTCGGTGAAAAGGCTCAGGGCATGCTTCACATAGTCCAGATCACCAAGGTGGGCTCTCTCAATGATTTCCTGGGTGTCAACTACCACATAGCCCACAAACAACAGAAGCCCAAAGTACAGCTGGGAACATTATCAAAACCAGTATAACAAGCTGTTAGAATCAGGTAGACAAAAATACCAAAACATATAGCTAAAAATTGATCATGAAATATTTGAAGCCGGTGATACCCTACCTCAAATTTAAAGAGGGCTGCAGATCCCCCAAAGATGGAAGATGCAAAGTGCAACCATAGAAGGATTGACAGGCCAGATGAAAGCAAGCCACCCAAGTAAAGATATTCTCTACGCCTAGCAAGCATGGCTGCTGCTGAGAAACATCCAAAGGCCAAGGCAGTACCAACAAAAGCTGCAATCAGAACACTGACAAAACGAGAAAAGCATCTACAGATCAGTGCTGTGCTTTCCATCATCATTCTAAAAAGGGCTATATAAATATAAGCATAATTGTCCAAGCAACAAGAAATGTATCTGATGGGTATAATGCAGAAATGATGCAGGCAATGGACCTCCAAATGGAAGGACATCATTCCAAGCACTTACGTTTCCTAGTACCATCCGATTCACCTAAACCAACTCATAATTAGTGAACACACAACCGCCATCACAAGAGAATAGTACCACTTTACAAATATACTACTTGCAGAATGTCCAAAAATATGCACACTACCATCCATTTTACAGCCAAAATCCACAACTTCAAAGAAAATAGTTAAAGTGACATGTACCTTGGATCAATCTGAATGGCCAGATCAATCAGAGGACCAATAGAAGCCCCTTGAAAGAGTGCAGCTGCCATCAAGAGAGCAACCCTCTTTTGCTGCTCATTCAAAAAACAAAGGAGGGGTAAAAAAAAAGAACACAAACCAAGCCAATACCAGAAACATGAAAATAGATTCCATCAGAACGTAAGAAACAAAGAAAATACAAAAAAAAATACCTCTTCATAAGGAGATATGGAAAGTAGCCAAGTCATGCATCCAAAGCATGCGAAAGTTGTTAAAAGACCACCAATGTTCCATAGGATATGAAGGTATGCCCCAGCAGCCGATGCAACCAGTGCACAACACAAGGTCAGATAAACCTGCAAATTTAACAAGTTTTGATCACGATCCAGAATCAATGAGTCAAGAGACAGGCGTGAAATCGAGAATCAGCTGAAATCACGTGTCTATACAATATAATCGTTTTCTCAGCGTACAAGATTATTTACAAATGAGAATCATAATTACAAAACCCTCGATCGTTTCATAAAAGCCAAAATTTTCCACTAAAACCGTCTCGCCTGGTTAATAAAACAAAAATTAAGCACAAACCCTAGAAATCCTACACCTGATGCAAATCTACAAATAACTGTCCGATTGTCCTCGATTTTTATACAAATTTTCTTAAGTATGAACCAAACAGAAATTTAAGGATTGCTCAGGGAAATAAGAATTACCTGCTTGAGATGAGTCTGGACGAGAGGAGAGATCTGGCGGAAGTTTTTGAGAGAATCGTAGCTCCAACGATTCCTTGAAGCCGATTGAGAGTCAAAGAAGGAAGCGAACGCATCCATTGTCTGGAGATAAGAAAAATTGTCGAGACAGAACGAAATTACTAATTTTGATGTGTATTTGTGGTGTTGCTTTACCTTGTATATATGTGTCCGGTTGCAGTTTGCTTCGTGGAAATTTCTAGATTCCCGAGTTGCGATTTTGCCCTTATGTTTGATGTACCGAAGTTACATTCTGTCCCTGCTGTAGTTTTGTTTCGGCTCGGTCCGCTTGACCCGGATGCTTTTTACCCGCCGAGGGTTCGTATTTTGGAGTGATAGAAGTGAATTGTCCCTGTTATTATGTTTTTTTTTTTTTTTAATCTGTGAAGTAGGGAAGTTTTCTTTTAAAAACAGATAAACCAGAGTGATATTGTGCATGCTATCTATAAGTTGCGTCCTCAGTTCTGTTCAATTTTTTGTTCTTGATTTTTTTATTATAACAGATTTTTGCTAATGCCATTTTATTTTATTTTTCAAGAAAAATAAAATGCTAAAAAAAAAGTCCTTTTATAATGTAAAATACGTACTAATTAGTAGTTAGATTTTAAAAGATAAATTGCATTGTTTTATTAAATTGATAATGTGTTAATTATTATTTCAGTTCATGTAATGTTGTTCGATTTTCTAATTTTTAACTTTGAAGTATATAATTATAGATATCAAATTATATTTATTGTTGATATTAAACTATAATTATTATTGAATAGGTTAAAAAATAGCAACAAATATTTGTATAAAAATCATCGATATTTAATAAAGATATTAAATAAATGTTATTTAATATGGTTATATTTTAAGTGTTTATAATAAATTCTAAAAAACATTATGATTGATTATAAGCATTAAATAATTCTTAATAAATACCCTAAAAACATCCGATAGTCAGACAATCATAAATTGAACATCATTAAAGAAAAAAAAACATGTTGAATTATAAGTTGTAAAATGTTAAACCTTCTTTTAACCCTTTTGCTTCTTTTTTCACGCACCAACCATACTAGAGGGTAAATCAAAAGTCAGCAGCCGCAAATGGATCATCTAAGGAAATACGGGTCAGAGGGGCATTTAAGGAAATTCGGTGGTCATTCTGGAAAAGTCGGGTTGACGCCAGCGCGATGTGGACAAGCAAGAGATCTTTAACAAACATCGCTTCGTCAACAAGCAAAAATGTCCCCTCCAATGTTCCTATCGTATTAACTAGACACTCTTAACAGTCGTAACCTATGGCAAAATGCTACGTCTTGAAACCAATAACATTTTGCCATGTCATATTAATGAATACAATTACTGAATAACTACGATCTAATATGATGAAAGATCTAATAAACGGAACATCAAAATGCCGTGTTAAGAAAACAAGGAAGCCTTGCCCCCAACAAAAAAAAAAAAAAAAAACCACCAGAAAAATAAAAAAATCATATTTTGAACTTTTTATGTAAATTAAAGAAATAATTAATTAGTATGTCATATCAATAATTTTTTATTCATATTTTTCTTAAATATATATACTTTTTAAAATTATATTTGAACATTTTTTATAAAATAAATTTTAATTAAAGATATTTTAAAAATAAATTATTTAAAATTTTTATAATAAATATAAATAGAAAGATAAACAATTTATGTAGATAACGAAGAACACAACTAGAAAACAATATCGATTTAAGTGGCATTACTTCACATGGAACAAAACTATAGTTGAGAAGGCAATCTCGCGCTTCATAGTAAAACTAATGCGAGACGTGCCAGTGTTATAGAGCAGCCATATTTTATTTTCTGAAAATAAAGCACTTGTGTACGACAAATTTTATAATATATATCAAAAGTAATTAATGACATGTATAATAATTACGTTATAAATCTATTTTAAAGAAAGAGATAAATATATAAAAAAAGAGAGAAAAACGTGAAAAAGAAAATAAAAAAATTTGAATGAATGTAAAAATCTTCTTAGTACTTTTGATAATATAAATATAATTTTTATTTTTTTATGTGTCTATCTCTTTCCTTAAAATGTATCAATAAAATAACTACTTTATATACCACTAATTACTTTTGATGTATTATGAAATTTATCCTTGTGTACAATTATATATTTCATTCCTGTAATCAATTAAGTTACAACACGCCTAAAATCTTTTACAATGGGTAAAAAGGACAACAAGAACAAGAGTACAGGGGGTGATACATTGACTGATTTACGGCAGTAGAATAAGCAAATATCCTATCAAAAAGCTATGGGTAAGAGGGTTAACCTAAATCTGATCAAGGTTACCGTTGAGAAAATTTGACAGGTCTAGCAATGCTTTGTCCATGTGAAGGAGTATTATTTCGAGAGTCCAAGCTATGTCCCTGCCTGAGCAGCTTCTGCTTTCGAAGGCTCTCATGACAGGGAGCAAAGAACTCGTGCTTTAAAGCATCCTCTGCACTAATTCTCAATCTGGGATTCACCGTCAAGCATTTGTCGACAAGGTCAATAAGTGAGCTTGGGACTGCATCCAGGAAATCTTGTCTTTTTGAGGTCAGCTTGCACCACTCCCATAGCGTCGTGGATGGCAAAGATTGCATATTATACAAGTCCTGAAAAAGAGTAAGCTCTCCAACGTGAATCAATTTTCTTTTCATAATTCATGGAAGATGAAAACAAGTATATGGTAAATACCACTGGGAATGAAGATTCTCGATCATGTAGCTTTGAAACTTCCCATAGATCTTCACTGCCTCTTAACTTTGCTATGTCCTTTATATTCCTGATAACGACAGTCCGGTTAACAAAATAAGTGGATGAAACGAAATGCGCAAAAACTCTATTGGAATTGAGAAAAAAAAAAAAAAGATTCTTACTGTTCGGGATCACCATAAAAGGGCGTTTTTCCTATTATCAGGTATAGTAAGGTGACCCCAGCAGACCAAATATCAACCTTAGGGCCTTGATGGAGAGATCTGAACAAGACCTGCATGAACCACAAACAGCATGAAACTACACTGCTACCATTTTGACAACCGTAAAAAATTAATCAAGTGCCCTTGTTAAGAAGTTAGATGTTTTTATCATTAAACCTTGACACATTACTTTCCCTGGGAGGTGGAACATGGATAACAGTCTTTATACAACCCTGACCATGATTTATGCTACCAAGCTCTAACTATGACCATGTTAGGCCTTGTTTATAACATGAGCTCAAAGCATAGATACAAAAGAAATTGGTATTCGGTGACTAATTTGAAAATCACCAGAAAGATCCAAATGAATATGAATCCGTAAGACCTGTGCATAACTACAATACAAGATCATACTGTAAACGAATGCAGCTGTTAGGGATTTATGCCCATAATTTAATAGCCACTGCACATTGTAAATATCTACAAAGAATCGTAGATTTCTATCCATTCTATATAAAAAACATGCAGTCGTGGCATCTCAGTTGATACTCACCTCTGGAGCCCGGAAACCTTTTGTTCCCACACAGGGGCCTTCTTTCTTGCTCCTCCCGTCACCTAATAACAAACAACCTCATCAGTGAAACAGACAAAGAAGTGCTGACGAACGAAATTTTCGAAAGCACACAGTATATGGAAACTCACCTTTGTTCTTAACTAAGCCAATCCCAGCAACTGCAATGCCAGTCGAGTGCAGAGGCATTGGAGTAAGATAAATATGCCTTCCATCTACTTTTCCAGGAGGCGCAGCAATCCTCTTCCTCATAGAAGCTGGAACACTTGATGCTTCATGATTTGGACTCTGCATTGCTTCATGCAACAAGCTGATAAGCTCCTTCCTACCTTGGCATGGCAGAGGCTCTTTCAGCCTTTCTGCTGAAGGAGTCCTAGCACTTGTTGCATCCTTGATCGAGGTTATGCCAGAGCCATCTGCTCCCTGACTTTTCATAGTATTCCGAACAGGCTTCCTTTTTACATTCTTGGCCTCCAAAGTTGACTTCAAGCCTTTTATCGCCCCCAGATCAACTGCATCCAAGAATTTAGTACCTGGGAACCTTCTACTTTTGGATGGTGGAACATATTTGGCATTGGAAGCTGAAACACTATTGAAGCTTGCATCATTCCCTGCCTTTGATTTGTCTGCGAAGAAATAATAATAATAATACTAAACAAATAATACAAAGAAGCTCCATCAATTTAGTTTTTCACATTTGATAATAAGCTCCATCAAACCTATTTGTCAAAAAATCTGCAATTGAACAGGTGCTAGCTAAGTTTCTCCCACGTCTAAAAGCCGGAAAACTAGAAGGTATAACAAAAATGCTCAAAAGTTTAAGAAGTCAAGAGAAAAACAACTTTTCAGGCTTTTCAGTGGCAAACGAGGCCACATATAAAGGTTGATATTTCATTTTGCAACTTCACTAACTGAGTATCAGCTAGCAATACAATCTTCAGCCGGAGACTGACTAATTCATCCTCTAAACTAAATCCATGCTAATGTTATGTTTGAATATAAAATCTCAGATAAGAATAAAAGCTTACTAATTGTTCCAAGCTTTTGATGCAGATCCTGTCAAAACACAACAAGACCAAGATAAGCTTCCCTAACTCTTTCGGAACAGTGAAGATGTGAAACAGGTTGACGCATAAATAGTCAAGTAGATGTACCAAAATATCACTAACCAGGGCAAGATTGAAATCGATTAGATAACCTTTATTGGCTTTGCATGAGAAAAGGAAGTTGCCAGGTTTTACATCCCTATGGGCCACTCCCTGCCAACATGAAAAGAACTAGTGATTTTTTTATTTATTTCAGTTAATAACCTTCAAACCAGAAAGAATGTGTGAGCAAAACTTCTCACCTGCTTATGAAGACTTGCTAGGGCTCTGAACATGCAATACCCATACCACCGGAGTTGAATAACATCTATTTCCTTCTTCAACACCTAAAAAGTTAGAGCAAAAACAAGATCAACTAATGGATAAATGAAACGAAGTTTTATTCATTAAAGCATCTTTTAATCACCTCTGGTTTGTCATGCTCAACGTACTCCAAAACAAAGCAGTCAGAATTTTGGTTC